GCCACACACGCACACTCGTGGGTCCGTGCCGAGTGCAGGACGACGACGCGTGCCAGGTTTGGGAAAGAAGTTTAGCCAAACACTGTCCTCGAGAAACTCCGCGTACCACGGAGCCCGCAGGCCTGGCCTGTTGGAGCAGCTGTGCGCGGTTTGGAGCCCCAATCCTAGCGACTCCGCGGAGGTGACGGCTCCTTCACGCCTCTTCTGCCCCACCTCCACGACCAAACACACACACGCACGCACACTTTTTACGGACTTCCTCTTTTCTTTTTGTTAAAGGAAACTACTTTGTCTCTTTATCTCACTAAGCCGAGACGCGGCAGAAGTGGGGGGGAGGGAAGCGGACCATTTTAGGAGTGAAAAGTCGTACGGCAAAATAGTTCATCCCACTGTCACCTCAAGCTTCAGCTAACAAGAATTTCTCTTCGGAGAAGCTAAGCGTCCCTTGCCAAACTTATGCAAGAGCTTAAACTTGCATGCAAAATCTTTAGTTACTTCTTTTTTTTTTTTTTTTAATAACTTGCCTGAGCCAGAAAGTGCGTGCACACGCAGGAGGGAGGGAAAGTGAGAAAACACACCCCCCCCCATGGGAAATGATCAGGCCACAGTCTCATTTCTCCCTCCTTAGGTGCTCAACGTGTTTTGAGGTTTTTGTTTACTTGTTTGGGTTCTTTCTTTCTATTTTCTTTCTTTCTCTCTTTCTTTCTTTCTTAAACAGAAGGTCTTGCTATAGGGCTCCTGTGCTCACCGGAAAGACAGAGGGACTCGGTTTTTCAGCTTGAACTGCCACATCCCTCATGTGGGTGTCAGCAACCTTAACCACCACACCAGGGGTTGGCCTCTCTCTACTCATTCTTTAAGCCTTCTCTCCTCACTCCTCCCCACCACCTCCACCTGTGATTTCCACCTGTATTTGTCAAAATAAGGGCTGTGCCTGTAACTCAGCTAGCTAGTAGGCTGCAGCAGGAGAATGGTGAGTTCAGGACCAGCCTGGAAGGCAAAAGCAAGTCCCTGTCTCTTAAGGGAAGGAAAAACAATTGCCTTTAGAGCTCAGAATGGCACTGATATAGCAACAATTGACAGTAGTATGTACCACTTCTTTTTCATTTTAGTAAAATCAATGCCATAGGATCAAGTTTATATACTTATTCACATACTGCCTTTTAGCCTCTCTTGTTCATTGTCACATGTATTTATCTTTCCATTTACATTATCTTACAACCAGATATATCAGCTCCTCGAGTATAGAAACAGATCATTTTTTAAGAGTTGTTTTGTTTTGTTTTGTTTTGTTTTGTTTTAAGAGAGAGATTTTTGCTATAGGGTGCATGCACTGGCCAGAGAAACAGAAAGTGAGAAATCACTCCCCAGAGAGGATGCTACAATCTCTTCTCCATTCTCCACTGGGATTTTAGGCACACATGCACAGGCACACAGACACCGGGTGTGAGTTTTAAGCTACCAGGTTCTGGACTCAAACCACAGTCAACTATGTGCGAGTCCAGCAACATAACCGTTACACCTTCTATTGGTCCCCAAATCAGTCACTTTAAGGAAGATTTATTGAGTGCTTACTATGTGCTAGGTACTGTTTAGTAGTTGCATTTAATTCACAGCACAAGACGGCCAGTCCCTGCTGTCATGAGGCATGCTGTCAGGGTGAAGAGACAAAACAGACAACAAACAAATAAAATACGTCTATATTGGAAAGTGGTTTTCAGAAATTTTAAATATCATGGTGAAATGATAGAGAGTGATTGACTAGGTGACTAAAAAATACGACTCAGCCATTCCAGGAGCTGGGAGAGGAAACTTTCCAAGTTATTGTAACAGTACATACGTTGACATTAGCACAGCAAGTTCAAGAAACAGAAAGAAAATGCTGTAGCCGGAGTTTTGTGAGATAAGATGAGATAAGAGAGAGAGGCACGGGCCAGATTGTATGATATTTTTTAAACTTCAGTTTTAAAAATTCAGGTATTTTATCTTAAGTGTAATAAGAGTTCATTAGAGAAGTTTAAGGCCAGGAATGGGCCGTGGATGAATTGATACGATCTATGTTTCTTAAAAAAAATTCTGTCTGGGACCAGCAGTTAGTGTAATGGCTATGTCGCTGGACTCCCACGTATTCGACCACGGTTCAAGTCCCGGACCTAGTGGCTTAAACTCACATCGGGCGTGTGTGCATGCATGCTCAAGATCCTGAGAGGAGAATGGAGGAGAAGGGATTGTGGAGTGGCCATCCCCTCTAGGGGGTGATTTCTTGCTTTCTGTCTCTATGTCTCTCTCTGTCTGTCTGGTGAGCACACGCGCCCTATAGCAAAAAATCTCTCTCAAAAAAAAAATTCTGTCTGTTGTTTGACAATGAACTTGAAGGTAGCAAGCATTACAGTAGAGAGAGCAGTTAGAAAACTATTGTACTACTATGCCAAAATAAAATATTGCCTTGTACCATCACCCCTACAGCAGCTGAGAAGCTCAAATGAATGAAGCTTCAATAAATACAGGCAGACCCCAGTTACAAATGCCAAAGGGCGAATGGAGGATAACTGCCACCCCCTTACTCTTTGACAGCTGGCTACACAGGAATGGAAATTCCATCATCCACTTGATCCACCTTCTAATTAGGTGGGCTGGGGAAGGTGCTAAGGTACTTTCTTACCAATAGGGCAAGAAACTGATTGAATGGAA